GTTCTGTCATTTTCAGTATGATCTTGGAATGTCTTTGAGCCTTGGGTCCCTCAATTTATGAAATGGGAATAATACCATACTTCACAGAGTTGTGAGGACAGAAGGAAATAAATTATGTAAAGTACCTGGCCTGGGCCTGGCACACAGTAGGTGCTCAATACCCGTTAGTTTCTTTCCTCTTCTGCCCTGGAAGAAATGACAGGGAAACTTACTAAGTGAGACTTGCCCAAACCAAATTTATTACTTGAAGTACAGGATGGAGGACTAGACAAGTAACCTTCAAGAACTCTTTGAACCCCCAGTCCATGTTATATAACATGGCTGTAATTTCCTAATAAGAACCTTCAGTGTTTGTCGTCCCTCTAGCCCCTTCTTTCTGTTTTAGTTTCCCCACATCACTTTTCAAAATAGAGGTATCTACTCATTTCAGAATGAAGGGGGAAAATCACAAAGGGCGCCAAGAGTATTGGGTAGAGTATAAAGGGGAGATGGCCATTAGGACGGCACATGTTCTTCTCCATGCTGCATGCAGCTACTCAGCTGGTTGCTGCCTAGAGTTTGAAGAATGAGGGTGGTAGCATGGGCACAGAACCAAAGGACACAAATGCAGGACCTTCCTGGGACACAAGTATGCCTCTGCTCAGAATTTTCTGCTTCTACACATCCTGCCAAGAAGGACCATTAAACATTCCTTTTTTCCAAATATGTAATGCAGTCACACCTGCTGTACCCCCTGCCTCAGTTTAGGTGTCACATCCTAAGTCCACAGGAAGAATGAATTGGGATTCACCCTGGGATGAGCTAATGCTTTTTTGTATCTTTCTAGAAAAAAGCTGATCACAATAACCTAGTAGTTGAAATTTATCTTCTCCACAATACTGTGTGATTTCCAAGGGCAGAGCCTTGTCCCAAGAGACACTATATTCCAGTCATTTAGCAGAGGCTATAGAACATCACAAACATAGGTAAGCATTTTGATATGCTATGGGAAATTAGCAGTTGAATATCATTAATAGGGCAACAACTGGAGAAGTGGGGGAAGGCTTCTCTTTTTTAAAAAAAAACTAAAACTGTTTCTATTCCTGCTTATGAAAAAGTTCCTCCCTGGGTGGCCTCATTCTTTAAACAAAACCCTAGGCCTCCTCAATTCAGCAGTTCCTAGACCCAGCCACATTCAGAATACCTAGGGCACTCTAACAACAATAGATTCCTGGGTTCTAGACCTGGAGACTCTGGTTTTGTAGGTCTGGGATAGGGTCCAAAAAAGTACAGGGGATCCAATGATTAGTTAGGCAGGGGTGAGGAAGCTGTGGAATCAAGCAATCACAGTACCTCTCCCACTGAGAATTACTTCTTCACATGTTATCAGAGAGGATTTACTGAGGCACATGCTGATCAACTTCCTACTTAAAACCTTTCATTGATTCCTCACTGACCAAACTACTTGGTGTGGTGAAACAAGAGCCCTGCTAACTTCTGCAGCCTGATCTCTCCAGGCTCACCCATGAGTCGGTCAGTGCTCGTTTGTGGCTCTTTGTATGTGCTCCTTTCCTTCTTTAGACCTCCTTCTCCCACTCTGCTTTCTGGAGAACTTCTTCTCAACTGTGAAAATTAGGCTCTGAGAAGCCCTTTCTGATCCAACCTCTGGGCTATCATGTCTTGGGCATTCTCAGCACCAAGCAACTACAATAACCATAGCTACCATTTGTGCGAAGTGCTTGACAGAACCCTAACATTAACCCTGCGAGCCTGAACTCACTGTCATTTCAAACATGAGAAAACAAACCAAGAGGCTGACTGAAACACTTTCAAAGGCCAGTTATGAGGATGTGGTTTACGAGGATATGATTTAAACCTTAACTCAGAGGAAGCTGATACAATACATTCTTCTAGCATTACTGCAATTACTATATACACGGTCTGTAGACCATGAGCCCCTTGTGGGCAAGAACCATGTCTCATTTACTTCTGCCTTTACAGCTAGTTCAGGGCCTGGTACAAAACAGGGGTCAGTTAGTGTCTGCAGAATAAACACCAGAAGAGAGGATAATTGGGCATCACAGCATATTTATCAAGGCTGAATTAAATGAATGAGTGACTGTCAGTATGGCCCAGTGAGGGGACGGGGGTTAAGAACAAAGTCATAGAAACCTGATTTTTAAATTATAATTTAGTTTAACAGACCTGTAAAGACCATACACAATACCACGAAGATGAATTAATACTGTCCGTGCTCTGAAAAATTCTAGGTACAATAAGGAAAGGTGTTAGAATTTTAAGTATCCATCTGATAATTAAACTTATTACTCTGGGACATTTTAGGGAAATTAACCTGGGCGGTTAAGTCTTCATCTTCAAAGACTGATGGCATTTTTACACGGCAAGTCTCTACTGGCTTATAAAGAACCATTGTGTGGCAGGGCTGCCTCCTCAGTATTACTTCCTCCCACTAGTATGGAAGTGGTTCAGGGCAGGGTGGGATTCTAAGCAGGAGGTCCCTAAGGGTAGGGACTATCTCATCCTTCTGTGAATCCCAGATAAAGAACCTGTTGCAGAGAGCTTACTGAGTGAATTAAACACGAGATGGTTTTAATAGAGACCAACTAATCATCTGCTCCAATTCCTGAGGAAACAGGTTTCCTCTGAGCAGAAGGAGAACTGGGTCTCTAGAGTCCCTTAAAATTAAACTGGACAAAGTCTCAGGGGACACTGTAAAGAGATCAGCATTGAAGAGGTACATGAGGGGTGGAAGAACAGCATGAGCTTAACCCACCCCCCTCATTGCTGGTTTACATTCTAGCAAGTCTCCTGGGGGCTGAGTATACACCTGGAACACAGCTGAGTAGTCTAAGAGAGACCAAAGACAGCTAGTAGTTCTAGCAAGAGAGGATATTTAGGCTTTGTCTGGCTGGTAGGCACAGTTCCTGCCACCTCAGAGGAATCTCTATGTACTAGGTGCTCTGCATGCTGCTTCGTATTCTCTTGTGCAATCACTGATGAGGCTCAAAGAGAGAAAAAATGGTCTCAGAATCACAAAGCAGAAGGCAGAGCTCAAGTTGGTAAACACTATTCCCCATAGTCTCCTTCAACTGTTTTTAAGTTTTGTGTGTTTTTTTCCCTTTGCTAATAGGCAGTACCTGTTCTAGTTTGCTAGTGAAGTAAAAGGATTTATGCTCTTAAGGATCAGATCAATGTGGTTTAGAGGCCTGGAAAAATTGGAAGGACTTTTGGGATTTCAATTAACCTTGAGGTCTTACATTTAAATGTGTACCAGTTATGCAAATGAGTGAAGAGTCCTAGAAAGAAGCAGAGAAGCATAAAGAGCACATGCCACATAAAGGCAGCAGTGCTACTCAGACAGATTACTATCTCGTGGAGATGTGGGCCTGGTATCACCATAGTCTTAGTTTTGAGAAGCAAGAATTCAGATTTGTGGGAAACTTCTTGATTTTTTAAAAATACTAGTTCACATTAAGATAAAAACAGATTAAAAAAAAAAGTGAGGACTGGGAGTGGTCTTATTTGCTGCTTTTGGACTGGGGTTGCCATATGACATAAGTATGACCTTCTTTATCCAGTCTATGTTCAAGTTGGGGTGGGAGCCAGAAATCCTCACCAAAGGCATGCCTGTGGACAGAACAATGATTGATCCCCAACCCTCTCACTAGTACTTTTCACCAGCGCACAAAAGCCTGTTTTTGAATCCAGATTCCACCTCCAGCAAATAAGTGGAGCACAATCAGAACACAGTTTATCAATGTGTTTCATTTCTGTGGCTATTAAAAATTCCCCAAAATACAAGAGTGAATTTTTTTGGCTTCATACTTATAGTGGAAGTCATTTGGGCAATTTTAGTTTATTTTTTTGTGGTACTGGGGATTGAATCCAGCACCTTGCACATGCTAGGTAAGCACTCTGCCACTGAGCTACATCATCAGTCTTGGGAAAATATTTATTTGGGTTTCTATTTCTTCATCTGAAAAACAGGGTAAATATATAAATATATCCCATTCAGTTTGTTCATTAACATTTGTTAATCAATGGGCATGGGGTATGATGGTGACTGAGTTGGTTTTTGCAATCTTAGTTTATATATAAAAGTAGACAAATAATTACACCATAGTTAACCCATCATATTTGTACTAAATGCTCTGGAGAAATACAGGGGAAGTGGGAAGATCAGGAGCAAGGTATGTCAGGTGCCTATTAGAATAAATGAATGAATTGACAGGTCACAAATATAAGAACATGGTAGACCTAGATATCAGAAGAGTTAACAAAGCTTATAGCCCTTGGGAAAATTGTGTCCTCAATAAAACTGAATGGTTAAGCCATTATCAAGTTTTTCGGCTCCTCTACATGCCAGGGACCCTAAAGTACTGTATGATCTGAATGGGAAGGAGAGAAGATGACAGACATCAGTCAGGCTCTCTCCTTTTCCACTCTCCTTTTTGGATAACAGCACTGCCAAAGGGGGTCCAGAATAGATTAGAGGAAAAAGCAGACTCAGGGTTGGAAGTCAGACCCAGGAGGTCTCCAAGTCCAACCCAGGGAGTTTCTCTGGAACTGGAGTCAGCTGAGGGTAGGAGGTGGGGATGAAGGTAGGGCTTCAGATACTCAATAAGCAATGACAGCTTCATTAATTAAAAATCTCACTGTGATCTGAGATACAAAGGAGACAGCACCAAAACTAGGTTACAATAAGCACAGGTTCTGGGCTGATTCATTCTTTCTCTTATTTACCTAGTTAGTTCATCTTTGTGTCGACAAGGCCTTGGCCTAGGCATGGAAGATCAGATATATGACATGGTCTGGATTCCTGTGGAGTTCACAGTCCAGTGCAGGGAATAGACAGATCAACATAACATTTCATCACATAATGGGGAGTGCTACCAGAGGGAAGCACAGAGGACTGTGGGCACAGAGGGGGCACCTGACGCAACTGGGGAGATCAGGGAAGGCTTTCTGGGAATAGTACCCCAAATGGCATCCCCACTCACATGCACAATTCCAGAGATTCTACTAGAAGGCTGTCAAGAGCCATGCCTTCTGGCTGCACCAGCCTCCCAGAGTCCCCTGCTGCCCGATGCAGTGTCTGCAGAGCCAAACGCATCTTCTGCCACGCCTCATCCTCATCCGGCGCTGCATCCGACCCTCCAAGACTCCTGCAGGGGCCTGCCTTCCTTGGCAGGCTCAGTCAAAAGACCAACTCAAAACTCTTTTGTCAGAGCAAGCTTAGGGCGAGCCACCCAGCCCCAGGTACCACAACCCTCCCAGAGCAACTGTGGCCCCTGCCACCCCCGCCTCTCAGTGAACACTGGCAGGGTACCTCCTATTATCTCCTCTGCTCAAAAGAAAGTGACCTTCTGCCAGGTGGCAAGCTGGAAGCTTTCGAGAATCCTCCTACTGCTCACTCTCAGCAGGATTCGCCAAACCAGGGATCTGAGGGGTGGGGCGAGGGACGCCTTGTGGGACGTGAGTATAGAGGGGAGAAAGAGCAAGTTTTTCTGGGTTTCCACTTCAGGTCAGGAGCCCCACCAAACAGTCCTCTGGACAGCCTGGCTGGCTGCTCCAACTGCCTTGCTGGGCAGGGAGAGGAGGGAGTCCCTGGAGACTGATGCTGGGGGCACAGCTGCTGAGGGGCAGCGGCTAAAGGCAGTGCAGGGGAACAAGCAAGAGGCTGCCTTGCAGACTCCAGCGCCCTAAGATGGCCTGTGGGTGGGTTGGGGAGCAGGTGGGCCCAGGGCAGAAAGCTGAGCTGTGGCCTCAAGACCAAAGCCCAGTCCAATGTGGGTGTATAGCCAAAACGTTTAGCTTCTGCTCCAGCCCGGAGGCGGCGGGAGAGGGGACAGCTTCAGCCTGGTCACAGGAGGACCGGCCAAGTCTCGGCTTTGGAGAGAGGGGTTCAGCTTCCACTCCCACCCCAGGGGGAGAAAGCCTCAACTCCCGACTTGGGGGAAGGCTCCAGCCCCAGCCGGGCAGGATGGTCCATGCCCAACCCCGCCCCACTCCCGCTCCGGGGAGGTGAAAGCGCCCGACCAGCCGGAGTCGCCTCGCTCGCTCCTACCTGCAGGCCGGACGCCAGCTTGGACTCGTCCTCCTCTCTGGGGCCGTCGTGGTCGGGCTCCACCGGCGCCTCCGGGGGCCCTGCTCCCACTCCAGCTTCCAAGCTCGGCGGCGGCGGGGGCTCGGGTGCTTGGGGCTTCTGCAGCCCCGCGGCCCGCGCCCGCTCGCGCCGGCCCGCGCCGCCGCTCGGCCTGCTCCGCCTCCGAGTCATGCTGCCGCTCGCGCCGCTCCCTCGCCCCACTCGCGCCGCCGCCGCCGCCGCCGCCGCCGCCGCCGCCGCCGCCGCTCCCCTCACAGGACAACAGCCAATATGGCGGCGCCCGGCTCCCCCTCCGCCCGCTGCCAGGAGGTCAGAGGGCACTCAGAATCTGCGCCGCCGCACTGGTCCCCGACGCTTTCTGCGCCATTTTTAATAAGGTCCACGCCTTAAGTTCGGTGGAAGGAAAGTCGGCCTGTGAGACACCTCAGCTCCCAGCCCTCCCCGTACAGGTCTTGAGGGATGCGACTTGCCGGAGAAACGTTTGTATTGTTGTGGCAGCTGCGCTGCGAGGGCCTAGGAGTTTAATAATTGTCTGTTAAATGGATGAGTGAATTAATTTCTGCTACGATACTTTCACACTCGTCTCCTGACTCCTCCCAGCAGCACTTGAGTCAGGTACGGATCATTCCCATTTTGCAGTGGAGAAACCTAGAGGCTAAAGCCGGCCTGTGAAAGATTGCTGAGCATCATCCAGCCAGAGATCCTGGGCTCGTGGTCTGCTTGAGCTAAAAGACACCAAGGCATCGACTGTATCTTTATTCGTAATGCATGGTTTACTGGATATCCAATCCAGTCTAGTGTGCTTAGGACTGCTACCCAGACCCAGCTCCTTCTCCTGGAGTGACGTGGAAGGTGGACAGTTAAATATATAATTACAACCAGTGTGATAAAAATGAGATGATTGGGGCACGTGCTTGCTCAGTGTTTCAAAAAAGTGGTATGTGCAAGAAAGGATTTTGAGTGGCACACAAAGGAACATTAAAATTTTTTAATTTAAGTAGGATTTCCCCCCTCCTATTTCTTGGGAATATATAATACGTATACAAGGTACAAATTAAAAAAAAAAGTTTTGAGTGCTGTCTGCCTCATGTTTGGTCCAGTGACATTCTGAAATGGTTATGTGTAGTATTGCTATAGATATCACCAACAGGAACAGAATCCTGACATTGACTTCCTGAAGAACTAAATGGAAAGCCCTGTATCCTTAACTATGATAACATAAATCAAAAATAGTACATCATCTCATAATAGGAATTAGTGCCACTACCAAAGATTTGAAAGATATAGAGTAATTCTCATCATATCATCATTGTTTCTTCAGTTTGGCCAATATAGAAGGGAGAAAGCCTTAGAGAATGTAAGGGAAGAAGTCAGGGATGTAGCTCAATAGAAGGGTGCTCTCCTAGCATGCAGGAAGCACTGGATTCAATCCCCAGCACTGGGGGAAGGGGGTGGGAGAACAATGTTGTGATAAACTTACTCTGGTAAGGACTTAAGTTGTAGGTATTCTTCCAGATATGGTCCTTCTTGGAGCAGATTGGCACAGTTATTGACTTCTAACAGTCAACCAGAGTCAATGCTTATTTTTGTACAGAGCAGTAACCCCTTATCCTTATGATTAAGTTCAAGACCTCCAGTGAATACCTGAACTGTGGATAGTACCGAGCACACACACACACACACACACACTCTCTCTCTCTCTTTCTCTCGATATATGTATGTATGTATATATATATATATATATATATATATATATATATATATACACACACACACTATACATATATATTTTTTTTCCTATACATATGTACATACCTATGATAAAGATATGGCCTAGGAGTTTAATAATTGCCCATTAAATGGTACAGATTAGGTACAGTAACAGAAATAATATAGCCATATACTATAATCAAATTGCCAGCATCACTACTCCTGTGCTTTGGGGCCATTATTAAATAAGATAAGAATGACTTGAACACCAGCACTGTGATACCATGGCAGTAGATCTCAACCCAAATGCCTACTAAGTGACTAACAGGCAGGTAGTGTATAAAGCATGAATATGCTGAACAAAGGGATGATTCACATCCTGGGCAAGACAGTGCAGGGTGGTGTAAGATTTCATGTTACTCAGAACGCTCATAATTTAAAATTTTATTTCTGCAGTTTTCCATTTAATATTTCTGGACCACAGTTGACTTTGGGTAACTGAAACTGTGGGTAGTGAAGCATGTGGTATGGAGGGACTACTGTAACAAACATCAGTAATAATCTGCTTTCATCTGACAGGGGCAGCAGTAGACCTTCACTATACGTTTCTGGGCTATGTCACTCTCTGGATACACTTGGTTTGCCAGGATTTTTGACCAAATCACCATTCCAGTGGCTCTATGACTAACCTGCCATGTCTTTGGTGATATCACCCTGATGGAACTTAAGAACAGGAAGTAACAGATTCCCTAGATGACTTGGTGAGGCATGATGTGTGTGCCAGAGGATGGATAATAAATCCCACAAATATACAGGTATTGTGGGGCTACCAGCATCCTGCCATGGCAGTTTCCTGCTCAGGAGATAATGAGCTACCTGAGAAAAATAAAGTCTGAAATAGTGAAAGGAGTAAGAGACAGATCCAGGAATTAGATAAAGAGAAAGCAGAGTGCCTGATAGGTCTAGTCCACATAGGAGCTGAACCTGAGCAACTAGAAAATGGCTCTAGTCTTTTATTTCAGGGAGAGTACATCAAAGGCAGGGCTATTGTTTTAGTGAGTGAAGTCTTGCTTCATGGTGTCTTGCGATTGATTGGCATCTTGGCAAGCCACACCCATCTCTGAGAGGCTGTGTGTCTGTGTGGCTCCAGTGGGTCAACCCAACTCCAGTGCGGTGCTGAACTTGGCAGAGCTAGGTAGAATATCACATGTATTGGGCAGTCTCTATAGCAGGAGTGCTGCTGGGAGTTCCCAGATACCAGACTCTTCTACCCATTGGCTTCCATGCTGATTGGGTTCACCCATATTTCATGGGTGACTTCCAACATACAGGGATCTGTCTACTTAGTGTACTATTTAGAAGTCTTGGGTGATGTATTGGTTCATTTTCTGTTATTATAGTGAAATACCTGAGGTCAGTAACTTATAAAGAAAAGAGGCTTATTTATATTTAGCTCATAGTTCTGAAAGTTCAGAGGCATGGTGCCAATATCAGCTCAGCTCTGGTGAAGGCCTCATGGTGAATGGCACCACGAATACAGAAGTATATGCAGGATGAAGAGATTACATGGCAAGATAGTGTTATTGTCGGGCTAGGGTTGTGGCTCAGTGGTAGAGCACTTGCCTAGCACGTGTGAGGCCCTGGGTTTGATCCTTAGCACCACATAAAAATAAATAAATAAATAAAGGTTAAAAAAAAAGATAGTGTTATTGTCTAGGGTTGCTGGGTTGTCTCTGTTCAGCAAAGAAGTGAAGAACAGGACACATAGGTAGCAAGTAAGCAGCAGGTTTATTGTAAAAGTGACAGAGACAGACTTTTCCAAAGAGAAGGGGCCTCAGAGCTGGGATTTCCTCATTTCCTTATCTCCCTCTCTGTCCATGCTTTCTGTTATTGATTGGTGTCCCCTCCGCCCATGCATCTGTTTTAGTTTTTCTATTGGATCCCCCATTTATGAGCACAAGTATGGAAGTGTCTTTCTGATTGGGTCCCCCTACTTGTGTTCACAAGCACTTTGTCCAGCAGGAAGTTGACCTCATCAGAAGACCCTCTCCATGCTCCTTTGTTCCGGCCCTGCCCCTGACCTCCTCACTCTCCATCTTGCCCGGCTGTCTGAGCCGCCCTTCTAGGTCTCCCTCAATAGGAAGACAGAGAATTGGGAGAAGCCAGTCTTGCAAACTTCCCCTAGGCTTCTACCTCTTGACTATCTCACCACCTCTTAACATAACCAAAGGGCAAATCTTCCAACACATGAACCTTGAGGGACATGTTCAAACCATAGCAGATGTGTGGAGATATTCTCTACAAAGTGAAAGACAAGTACTGAACATCACATTCCCTACCTCTAAGAAGGATGTACAATATACTTCACGGGCAGCTTTATACTTGGAAGATAACATTTTAGTTACATTATTTTGGCCAGTTACTGGACCACTTGAAAGCTGCCAACTTTAGTGGGGAGAACATACAAGGAGATAACTCTCGCCTGTGACCTGCACAGGTGAGACAGACTGCGTTTAAATGGGCTGGCTGCAACATTAAGCTAAGAAAGGCGGCGAAAAATCACACAACACAGACATTTGACCTTAAAGGTCAGCTTCCACTCTGGAAAGAGAACACTGGTTAAAGAGATCTGTGAGCCTGCAGTTCCTTTATTTTATAGTAGGGACGTCAGAGAGGGATAAGGTTTCAAGGGTGGAGTCTTGCTGAAGATGTCTCATGTCATCTCTTTGACTGACATGTTGGTGAGTCACACCAATCTCAGGTGCTGGGTGGGATCTTAGGCAGAGCTAGAGGGGGAGGCTCACCTGTATCATGTGATCAATCCCTGACTGGGAGTTCGCAGTGCCAGGCCTGTCCCCTCAAGAGGCTACTATGCGCAGTGGTTCACACACCCAGCCCATGGACAGCTTCTGACATTTTCTTACTGGACCAGGCTGCATAGTAAATAGTTTTACCTTTTGCCTTTATACTCCAAAAGCGTTAGCTTTTGGAGCAAAGTAAAGCATTCCTTTAGCAAACAATCCTTCTGAGAAACAGCCTCTTGCTCACTCCAGGGATCTGGCGAAATTGGATGCCTGACCATAGCAGACATACCAAGTAACCATGTGACCTAAGCTTAGTGTTCTGATCTACCCAGCCATAACAGTAAGGGTGGCTGGCAGCACTCCATCATCAAAAGGAAGTGACATATAGGGATTAGGTCCAGG